CTGAGTTCAAATTCAGCCTTAGGCAGTTGACACTTCCTAGCTATATGACCCTGGGCAAGTCTCTTAACCCTAATTGCTTCACCAAAAAGCAAAAAATAAAAAAATAAAAAACACCTAATGATTAGAACAAACCAAAAGCATATTGGACTGCCTGAGAAAGTAGGGGGTTTCTCCTCACTAGAGATCTTTTCTCTTTTTTTTATTTCATTGAGCTAACTTTGCTTCTTGGCCACTCTCACCCTTTGTTCCTGGTTATACCATCTGGGGCCAAACGCGACAAACCAAATCCTGCCCTGACGGCCTTTTAATAAGGCATCTGTCACGCCCTCTTTCTTAACTTTTCTCTTTCCCGGGTAAAGTTCTCCAATCCCTTCAATTGACTCACATCTGGCAAGACCTTGAGTCTCTGCTGTATAGGTTGCTCTTGTCTGGATGCTCTTTAGCTTATCAATATCTTTCTTAAAATGTGGCATTAAGAAATGAGCAGAACCAGGAGAACACTGTACACAGTAACAGCCACACGGTGAGATTACGGACTTTGATAGACTCGACTCTTCTCAGTAATGCAAGGATCTAAGACGACTCCAAAAGACTCATGATGGAAAATGCTGTCCACATCTAGAGAAAGAACTATGGAGTCTGAATGCAGATGGAAGCATACTATTTGCTCTCCTTTTGTTTCGTTTTGTTTCTTATTTCTCGTGGTTCCTCCCATTAATTCTAATTTTTTTAAAAAAATTTTAACTTTATTTTTAGCTTTCAATATTCACTTCCACAAGCTTTTGAGTTTTAAATTTTCTCCGCCTCCCTCCCTTCTCCCCTCCCCAAGACAGCATGCAATCTGATATAGGCTCTACATATACATTCTTATTAAACATATTTTCACATTAGTCATGTTGTAAAGAAGAATTAGAACTAATGGGAGGAACCACGAAAAAGAAGAAACAAACAAAAAAAGAGAGAGAGAGCAAATAGTTATGCTTTGATCTGCATTCAGATTCCAGAATTCTTTCTCTGGATGTGGATAGAATTTTCCATCATGAGTCTTTTGAAGTTGTCTTAGATCCTTGCATTGCTGAGAAGAACTAAGTCTTCAAAGTTAGTCATCACACGATGTGGTTCTTATTGTGTACAATGTTCTCCTGGTTCTGCTCACTTCACTCAGCATCAGTTCATGTAAGCCTTTCCAGGTTTTTCTGAAGTCTGCCTGCTCATCATTTCTTATAGCATTATAGTATTCTGTTACATTCATAGACCACAACTTGTTCAGTCATTCCCCAACTGATGAGCACCCCCTCAATTTCCAATTCTTGGCCACCACAAAAAGAGCTGCTAAAATTCTTTTGTACATGTGGGTCCTTTTCCCATTTTTATTATCTCTTCGGGATATAACTCTAGGAGTGGTATTGCTGGGTCAAAGGGCATACACATTTTTATAGCCCTTTGGGCATAGTTCCAAATTGCTCTCCAGAATGGTTGGATCAGTTCACAACTCCACCAGCAATGCATTAGTGTTCCAATTTTCCTACATCTTCTCCAACATTTATCGTTCTCCTGTTTTGTTATGTTAGTAAATCTGATAATTGTGATGTGGTACCTAAGAGCTGTTTTGATTTGCATTTCTCTAATCAATAGTGATTTAGAGCATTTTTTCATATGATTGTAGATAGCTTTAATTTCTTCATCTGAAAACTGCCTATTTATATCCCTTGACCATTTATCAATTGGGGAATGACTTACATTCTTATAAATTTGATTCAGTTGTCTACATTTTTAGAAATGGCCTTTATCAGAGATACTGGTTGTAAAAATTCTTTCCCAATTTTCTCCTGCCCTCTTAATCTTGGTTGCATTGGCTTTGTTTGTGCAAAAACTTTTCAATCTAACGTAATCAAAATTATCCATTTTGCATTTCATAATGTTCTCTGTCTTTTGTTTGGTCGTAAATTCTTCCATTCTCCATGAATCTGACAGGTAAGTGATTCCTTGCTCTCCCAGATTGCTTATAGTATCAGCTTTTATATCTAAATCATGTACCCATTTGGACTTTATTTTGGTATACAGTGTAAGATGTTGGTCTATGCCCAGTTTCTGCCTACTATTTTCCAATTTTCCCAGCAGTTTTTGTCAAATAGTGAGCTCTTATCCCCACAAGCTAGGGTCTTTGGGTTTATCAAACAGTAGATTACTACAGTCATTGACTATTGTATCTTGTGTACCTAACCTGTTCCACTGATCCACCACTCTATTTCTTAGCCAGTACCGAGTAGTTTTGATGATTGATTGCTGCTTTATATTATAATTTAAGATCTGGTATGGCTAGGCCACCTTTTCCAGCATTTCTTTTAATTAATTCCCTTGATATTCTGGACCATTTGTTTTTCCGGATAAATTTTGGTATTATTTTTTCTAGCTCTATAAAATAATTTTTGGTAGTTTGATTGGTATGGCTCTAAGTAAATTAATTTAGGTAGAATTGTCATTTTTATTATATTAGATCAGCCTACACACGAACAACTGATATCAGTTTTTTCAATTATTTAGATCTGACTTTACTTGTGTGAAAAGTGTTTTGTAATTATGTTCATATAATTCCTGGGTTAATTCTTCTTTACATCATGACTAATGTAAAAATACGTTTAATGTGAATGTATAAGTAGAGCCTATATCGGATTCCATGCTGTCTTGGGGAGGAGGAAAGAAAGGGAGGAGGAGAAAATTTAAAACTCAAAATCTTATGAAAGTGAATGTTAAAAACTAAAAATAAATTAATTTTTTTTAAAAAGGTGGCACAATGATGATATATGATCTGACAAATAAGCAGGATAGCAGGACTGTTGTGTCCCTAGTCCTATACGCTTTGTCTCTAGGATTAATGTAGCCTAAGATCAAATACACTTTTTGAATACTATACTGGATTTTTTACTACTTTAGAGTTTTCAGCTTCCTTCCTTTAACCCTGATCATTATTCTTTGTCCCTATATCCTACCTGGAGCCCTTGTTCCAGCTACAATGGCCTTCTGACAATGCCTTCTTCCACTGCTGAGTCTTCTCCCAAACCATGCTTTCTGTTAATGGAATAGCTTCCTTTCTGCCCACCATACTGCTTCCTTCCCCCTCTTTCTTCTCCCCTCTAGATCCACCTCTTCTAGGAAGTCTTTTTCAGATGAATGAGAGTAGCTCACTCCCTCTCCAACACAATCTTAGCCCCCTCTTTTCACCTCAATACACTTTGTAAATACATGGATTAAGAGAAGAAACCATATTATGCCCTCTTCCCCAATACCTACGAAGGACTAAGCACATAGGAAGTTATTAATAAGTATTTGTCAAATGAATGAAATTCTAAGTTTGAATCATTTGTGAGGAGCTTATTGAATTATAAATGTTTTGATGCCAGAGACCACCTTAGTTCTTTATTATGTACCACCAAGTTTTCTGAGTACACAGCCATGAACCCCGTGAGCACTTAATAAATACAAGCTGAGTGACATCTCCCGATGATCCAGGAAGCCTGAGTGGCCATGCCACTCATCATTTCTGCAACCCACAAGGCATTCTTCTGATTAAGACTCAGTTTCTTCCCAGGGTTCCATGGTAGGTCACCTGCAATAATGGGGGGAAAAAAAGAGTTCCTCTGTGCCCCCAGTCTCTGGATCAGAGGAATGGACACAAGCCTGGCAGTAAGAGTATTCTCTACTGTCATCTTTCCTGTCAGTATCATGCTCAATTTCTTCCTTTGGTTGCCTCTCACTTTTGATTCTATTCCATCTCTGAGGACTACCTATATAGAAGTCACACTGGTATTGCACTTCATCAGCTCTTCTCTCCTCTGAGATAACAAAGCTAAAAAAAGAAAACCTAGAAGGTTAGTTCCTTCAACTTCTTTCATGTTAAAGAATTAAAGCACTGCAAGAAGTTGGGTTTTTGGAGGTTTTTTTAAGCTAAGGTGGGAAATGGGATCCACTAGTGACCCATACTATTATGAAGACAATGCACCTAACCTGATGAAGAGGTGGGGCATGGAGTTGCTTCTAGTCATTGAAGTGGATCTGCACTGAACTCTCTACAATCTCTCATTTGGTTCATTCAACAAACATGTATTATGTATGTCCTACATGTGGGGGCACTGTACCAGATGTCAAGGGAGATAATGTACTGGTTCTGACTGATCAACTCTTGTTTGCAAGATGGCTGCCTCCTTGAATCTCTCAGGCCACTCTGACTTGTCCTAGTCATGTTCTCTATGTCTTGTAGTATAATTATTTGTGTGTATATCTCAGTCTTTCCTATGATATTAAAAGCTTCACAAGGGCAGAAACAATGTCATTTTAAAAAAATCTGTATTCCAATCTGCAGGCATACTACCTTAATTAATGGTAGGGACATGGAGTGTATTCTATATGACCATGAAACGGGGGGGGAAAGGAATTGATCCCCAAGAAGATTGAGCTAATGCTGACCATTATTGGCATGAGCAGCGTTCTAATCACTGACTATGATCTGGAAATCGCAAGATCTATACTAGCAGGAAAACCTTAGAGTTTTTCAGTCCAAACATTTTCATCCCATTCTCGGTTCTGCAGAAAAGGAAAAATTGAGTCCCAGAGAGGTGACATCTCAGTGTCACACAGTTAATAGATAGCAACTGTGAGATGTTAAACTAATCTAATGCTTTTTTTTCTATTACTACCCCCCCCAACTCTCAAAAGTTAAAGCTGGGAGAGATGCTCAGCTACTATAACAACTGAAATACAGAAGTATCACTGGGGGTCCTGGTCATTTGCCCTGTTTTCACACCTACAGAATAGCTCTGCCCCAGCTCTTCCTTAGGTTTTTGTCTATCCTCCTCATGCTGACAATAGGCCTTGGCCTCACTCTCACCCTCAGAAATCAGATCCCACAACACCTCCTCTAAGGAATCTTTCTTAGTTTTTACTTACGTGGTAAAGTCTGGTCATCTGACAAGTGGTTCAATCGCACTGCTTTGGATGAAACAGTCCCAGTGTGGTGGGCTTTGTTTCTTGCCCCAGGCTTCCCAATCACAGGACACATCACATTCATTTTCCTTGGAATCTACTGGTCAACAAAAGCAGGAATGTTACATTTTGGAAGCCATGGTAACCACAATATTTCCTCTTCATCACTTTAATCATGTAAAGAAGAGTAGCTTGAGCAGGCAATATTGTTTTATAGGAGTATCACTCATGGCCACAGATACACAAAATAAGTCATTGATGTTTATAGAGAACTTTTTAATTTGCAAAGTGTTTTTTTACATAGAGTATTGAATTGTATCCTCCTCACAACCTCGGGAGGTAGGGGGGATAGGTATCATCTTTATTTTACAGATGAGAAAATAGTCTGAGGGTTGAGATGACTTCCCCAGGATCACAGAGATAGCAAATGCTGGAGGCAAAATGTGAACTTAGGTCTCTCCTAACTAACTCCAAGTCCAGCTCCTGTTTGACTACACAAATGTGATCCTTTCCTATATTAATTCTACCACTATCATCATTAGCAACATCAGTCATGTTCTCAATTTACAATTTCCCAAAATCTTTTTCATGCCATTCTCATACCAACCTTGTGGAAAGTATTTTAAGTAGCAACTTTTAGTTTCACTGTGATGAGTATCAACTTAATCAGACTGTAAGCCCCATGGAGGCAGGATAGGAGGTCTAGTCTATAACATGGATCTCCAGAGTTCTTGATGATCCCACCACTCTTTCTCCCTCCTATTCCCATCCTTGAGAGCATTCATGGCACACTTCTCTCCTCACTGACAGCAACAGCTCCTACTGGATTCTAGCAATCAACTAACCAATGAGGAGTGAGTGATTGAACACCTGCTTTGTGCTCTATTCACTTCTCTAAGCCTTGCCATTTCTACCTTTGCAATACCTCTCCTATACATCGCATTCTTCCCTCTGAAATAGCTGTCATCCTAGTGCAGGCTCATCTTGTGTTACTAGTGCAATAGCTTTCTGGTTGTTCACCCTGCCTCAACTCTCTCTCCACTCCAGTCAATCAATTCAGCTGCCAAAGTGATCTTAAAGTGCAAGGCTGCTTTCTCGTGGTTCTTCCTATTGGTTCTAATTCTTACTTACAACATCACTAATGTGAAAATATGCTTAATAGGAATGTATATGTACAGCCTATATCAGATTTGCGCCATCTTAGGGAGGGAGGCAGGGAAAAAGGGGGAGAAAAATTTAAAACTCAAAAGCTTATGGAAGTGATTGTTGATAATTCAAAATACATTAATTTTAAAAAACAAAAAATAAATATAGTAATTATAATATTATTTTTTAAGGTAAAAATAAATCTATCTAACAAATAAAAAAAATAAAGTGCAAGGCTGATCATGTTACTACCCTACTCAATAAATTCCAGTGGCTCTCTTATTATCCCCAGGATAAGATCCTTTGGCTTTTTTCAAAAGTTTTTATAGTATTTTATTTTTTTCCCAGTTATATATAAAAATAATTTTTAACATTCATTTTTTAAATTTTGAATTCCAAATTCTCTCCCTCCTCTCCCCTTTTATTTAGAAGGCAAGCAATTTGATATAGTTTATACATGTACAGTCACGCAAAACATTTTCCATTTCAGTCATGTTGTGAAAGAAAACACAGCTCCCCGCAAAAAAAACAAGAAAAGTAAAGTAAAAAAAGTTTGCTTCAATCTGCATTCAGACTCCTTTAGTTCTTTCTCTGGAGGTGGATATCATTTTTCATCATAACTCCTTCAGAACTGTCTTGGACCATTGTGTTGCTGAGAATAGCTGTCATTCACAGCCAATCATCAATCAAAATTGCTGCTACTGTGTATATGGTTCTCCTGGTTCTGCTCACTTCATTTTGCATCAATTCATGTAAGTTTTTCCTGGTTTTTCTGAAATCAGCCTGCTCATCATTCCTAATGGCACAGTAATATTCCAACATAATCATATACCACAACTTATTTCGCCATTCCTCCATTAATGGGCATCCCCCCTCAATTTACAACTCTTTGTCACCACAGAAAAAGAAGTGCTATAAATATTTGTGTATGTATAGGTTCTCTTCCTTTTTTTCCCCTCATCTCTTTGGAATATAATGGTATTATTGGGTCAAAGGATATGCATGGTGTTATAGCTTTTGGGGAATAGTTCCAAATTGTTCTCCACAATGGTTGAATCAGTTTACAATGCCAACTATGGTGATTTGGTGCCCCAATTTTCCCACATCCCCTCCAACATTTATCATTTTCTCTTTCTGTCTTTTTGCCAATCTGATAGGTGTGAGATGGTTCCTCAGAGTTGTTTTAATTTGCATTTCTCTAATAAATAATGATTTAGAGCATTTTTTCATATGACTATAGATGGCTTTGATTTTTTTTAATCTTTAAACTACCTATTCATGTCCTTTGACCATCCATCAATTGGGGAATAACTTGTATTCTTATAAATTTGACTCCATTCTTTATATATTTGAAAAATAAGGCCTTTATCAGAGAAACTTGCTGTAAACATTTTTCCGTGGTTATGATTACTATGTATTCTCCTCCATCCTATTTTCCTCTTGTTTATCCCTTCTCTCTCTCTTTTCACCCTGACTCCTCAGAAGTGTTTTGCTTCTGACCACCACCTCTCCCGATACACTCTCCCTTCTATCAGCCTCTCTTCCCCCACTTTTCTTATCTCCTTCCCTTCCTACTTCCCTGTAGGGTAAGATATATTTTTTTTAAGGGGTGAGTGATTTGCCCAGGATCACACAGCTAGTAAGTGTCAAGGGTCTAAGCCAGATTTGAGCTCAGGTCCTCCTGACGCCAGGGCAAATGCTCTATCCACTGTGTCACTTAGCTGCTCCTGGGTAAGATAGATTTCTATACCCAATTGAGTGTATATGCTATTCCCTCTTTGAGCCAATTGCAATGAGAACAAGGTTGTCTGCCACCCCTCCCATCTTTCCTTCTACTGTAAAAGCTTTTTCACATTTCTTTTATGTGAGATAATTTACCCCATTCTACCTCTCCCTTCCTCCCTTTCTTCCACCATAGTCATCCTTCTTTCTCACTCCTCAATTTTATTTTTAGATATCATCCATCATAGTTAACCCACATCCATGCTCTCTGTCTATGTATGAAGAGGTCTAGGGGTTTTGGGGTGCTGGGACCCCAAGATCATTGTACCGGGCCCTGCCTGAAAGAATTCAACTCAAATCTTCTTCAGCCAGAGGAAAAGTTTATTAGTGGTAAAACATATAGGCCGGGTGATGCCCGTAAGGACGAGCGGGAATGAGAGGTTCTCAGCCTTTTGAGCGTGAGATTCTCAGCATCTGAATGAGGGCCAAGGTGGATCTTAAATACTAAAGTAACTTTGGGTGGCCAGAAAAGGGGGTTGGGTAAAAGGTCTAGGTAACAATTCTAATTGGGGAGGTCTGCCAGATTGAATAGACAATGGGAATAGATAATGGAGGAACAGGAAGGCAGAAGTTTGAAAGGCATCTGTACAAAATCAAGGTGGGGCTAGGACTTTCAAAAGGAGACAAAGGAAGGCCTTTCTATAGACAAGAGGGAGCCTAAGGCTTTTAGGGCGCATCTGAATAAGATTAAAAGGTAAAGCTAAGGCTTTCAAAGGGAGATGAGGGTCTGGGGCCTGTGAGTCTGATTCCCTTTGGGGCAAAGGGTGAAGATCTTGGCTTGGGCCCCGCCCTCATCAAGTATACTGCTTCTAACTGCCCTAATAATAATCAAGTTCTTGGGAGCTACAAATATAATTTTCCCATTTAAGAATATAAACAGTTTATCCTTATTAAAATTAAAATTAAATTTTCTCTTTCCTGTTTACCTTTCTATGCATCTCTTGAGTCTTGTATTTGAAACTCAGATTTTCTATTCAGCTCTGATCTTTTCACCAGGAATGATTGAATGTCCTCTATTTCATTGAATATCCACTCTTTCCCCTGATGGATTATACTCAGTTTTGCTGAGTAATCCTCATTCCTTTACCCTCTGAAATATCATATTCTAAGCCCTCCACTCCTTTAATGTAGAGGATGCTAAATCTTGTCTTATGCTGATTGTGGCTCCACAATATTTCAATTGTTTCTTTCTGGCTGCTTGTAATATTTTCCCCTTGACCTGGGAACTCTGGAATTTGGCTATAATATTCCTGGAAGTTTTCATTTTGGGATCTCTTTCAGAAGATGATTGGTGGATTTTTTCAATTTCTACTTTACCTTTTGGCTCTAAAGTATCAGGACAGTTTTCCTTGATGATTTTTTGAAATATGATGTGTAGGCTCTTTTTTTGATCATGGCTTTCAGGTAGTCTGATAATTCTTAAATTATCTCTCCTCAATCTATTTTCCAGGTCAGTTGTTTTTCCAATGAGATAGTTCACATTTGCTTCTATTTTTTCATTCTTTTGACTTTGTTTTATTGTTTCTTGATGTCTCATGGAGCGATTAGCTTCCATTTGCCCAGGTCTACATTTTTTTTTTGTCATCATGCAATTTTAATTTTTTGGTAAGTTTTAAAATCTATTTTAAACTAAAATACAAAACAAGAAAAAAATTGTCATGTACACAGAAGAATATAAGAGAGAATTCAATATGAACTAATACATTTCCATTTCAAGGAAACCTCTATAATAAATACTACACATTGTTTTCAAAACTGTTCAGCTTTTCTTTGCTTCCCTGAATGTTTTCTTTTGTTCTCTGCTGTGCACTTTTTACTTTATTTTTCCTCTCCCTTCCCCACCAAGAAAGCTACAATTAAAGCAGAGATAGACAGATAGATAGATATAGATATGTACACACATATACATAGATATCTATAAACATTCCCATATATACACATATACACTCATACACATATGTAAGACTGTACTATGCTTATTTCTACTTGTCATCTGTTTCTCTGAAGGTAGACAGCATCTTCCTTCATAGGTCCAAGTCTTTCTGTGTTTTTCTAAATCAACCAGCTTATCATTTCCTACACCACAGCAACATCCCAACCCAATCATATTCTATCTCAGAGATTGTCTGTGAAAGTTTTCCCCAAATTTTCTGCATTCCTTCTGTTCTT